GCTGAGGGGATACGAGGAGGAGTAAACCCCTCCCCGAGGGGTAAGAAGGGGGTTGGAAGAGAACGCTCTCTAAACCACCTTTGCCCAGAGGGCTGATGGGCTTCATGTGTGTCTCTTCCCCCCCGCTCCTCACCCTCCTCCTTTCCTTCCTGCTCCACCTCCATCGCCGCCTGTGCCCGCTCACCGATCTTGCCCCTCCTCTCGCAGCCCCTCCTGCTCATCCTGCTCCTTCTGCCTAGATGTTGCTGACGGCGACGGCGACGATACCGTTTCAATGCTTTCTCTGCTGGTGATGTTGCTGGCTGCCATGCACGATTCCCGTAGTGTCGGATCCCCGAGCCGGCCCGCTCGGCCCCCCCCCCGCCCCACCGAGGTCCGACAAGATGATTTGAGGCTCAGCAGAACCCCATGAGGCCTTCAAGCGGCCCCCATGAGGCTCCAAGAGCCTTCCGAACTATCTCCAAGCGGTCCCCCAGAGGGGTCCCAACAGACCCCAATACTCACCAGAGAGAGCTGGAAAATCAGAGACCCCCCCACGAAGGGGCATGTCGAGCATGCGGCCCCAAGACGCCCCAAGGACGCCAGCAGAAGGCACCAAGGAAGCCCGAAGAGGCCTAAGAAGCCACCAAGAAGCCCCAAGAAACCCCAAGAGGCACCAGAGAGACCCCCAAGAGATTTCAAAACTGTCCCCCAGAGGCCCCTGAGAGCCCTCCAGAGAGACCCCAAGAAGCATGCGTGAGGACTCTGACCCTCAACCCAGGCACGGTGGTGGGATGGGCCAAAGGCCATTCGATCTTCATATCTATATGTATATGTGTATGTATATATGTGTATACATAGATGTGCACACATACGTATACACATATATAAACACAGCCAACATATATTTATATCCGTATATGAACATATCTGAATATATATATATATGTATGTATGCACATGCACTTCAAAATATCATGACCCCGTATTCTCACCGAACAACGCAACCCATTGCCAAGCGAATGTTCTACCGTAACTTCTGGCACGGGCGGGGCGGGCACACGTTCTCTGAGACAAGGCGAGAAGACCATGTGTATGACTAACGTTCGCCGCGTCGATGACAGGACCTCTCTCTGGATTCACTTCTTCTTGCCGCCGGCGCCGCCCTCCTCCTTGCGCTCGCACGAGATGACCTTCCCGAGCATCACGACGCCATTGCCATCCATGAAAGCCACGCGCGACAGACCCTCGCAGTTCTTAAATGTGTCGCACACGAGCGGCTGCTGCGGCTGGAAGCTGCACTGGGCCATCTCGTTGGACTTGAGGGAATGGGGGTCCTCCATCTTCTTGCCGCCAGTCTCCTTGCCCATCTTCCACTTCAGCTTGCTGATGCGGCACGCCGCGCGTCCGCAGCGCACGAATCCGATCGGGGAGTAGCCGACCTTGATCTCGTTGGGGATGTCGAGCACCTGGATCTGCGCGTCGAACTCCTTCGTCTGACCCAGGGTGGTGTCCTTCTTGTAGACCATCACGTCGCCCGAGCGGGGCATGTTGTTCTTGTCGAGGCCCTTGATGTTGAGGCCAACGTTATCTCCCGGGTTGGCGAAATCGACGCGCTGGTGGTGCATCTCCACGGTGAACACCTTGCCAGTGCACGGGTTGGAAGCGGTGTGCGTGGGCAGGAACACGACCTCCTCGCCCGGCTTCACCACGCCCTGCTCCACGCGCCCGGCGAGCACATCGCCGACACCCTTGATCTTGTAGATGCCAGAGATCGGCATGCGCATTGGCGCGCTGGTAGGCCTCTCGGGCACGCGGCACATGACGTCGAGCACGTCGTAGACAGTGTCCACGTGGATGGTCTCCTTGCCGTACTCGACATCGCAACCCTTCCACCAACCCATGTTGTCGGACTTCTTCAGCAAGTTGTCACCCATCCAGCCGGAGATGGGCATCACCGGCGTGCCCTTCTCCACGAAATCCTTCTTCCACCCGACCTTGACCAGCATGCTCTTCATCTCGTTCGCGATCTCGTCGTAACGGGACTGCTTACCCGCAACCATGCCTTAGGCACGTTGGGGCGTGTTAGAATGCGCGTTGTAGCTCGCAAGCCCCCCTCCCCTACGTACACGCACCATCCGAGTCTCCCCCAGGTTTCGCTCCCCGACGCCTTTTCCGGCCTCGAGGCGACTCCAAGACAATCAAAGCTCGCCCGGGCGTCCAAAAAACAGCTGAAATACGCCCTACGCGAGAACATGAGAAGACGGCCGAACGAGATTCGTGGGTTTCGGATGTTTTAATCATGTTTTAGGGCCTCAGCAGCCTTCAAGAGGCGCCCAGAGAGGCTTTCAGCGGGGCCCGAACAGGTAAAACTCTTTGAGCAACCGACTAGAAATCAGTGTTGCGTGCTTCCCAGATCTTTCGGCTTAAGGTCAGCTCAAAATCTTTAGAACACCTGAAGAAGCATCCGCAAGGATGCAAGGTAGCATCAAGAGAGCCGCAGGACGGGCCCAAGATGACTCCGGAGCCGCCCAAGAAGGCCCAAGACCGACAACACAACGAGACCCCAAGATGGCCTCCATGACTCGTCCGACGAGACGGTTCGACCGAGCCTCTTGGACAGAGCTCGGTAGAACCAGAAGAAGGGAAGGGGGGGAACAAGCCTGCGGACAAGGAGGAAGGAGCGTTTAAAACTCGCGCGTTTACAGCGCAGACAGGGCCGCGATTCGGAGCAAGTCAAAAACTCAACCTCCTTGCTGGACTGCTGCGCTGGCGTGGTGTCGGGGTTTGCCACAGGCAGCTCGATACCCCGCGGTGTCGCAGTCCATCTTGTTGACGCCAATGCAGATCTGTTTCACGCCCAGCAGGTTGATCAGGCGGGAATGCTGGCGAGTCTGCCCCTGGATCTCGCCAGCCTTGTGGTTGCCCTTGGCGATGGCGGTCGTGAAATTACCGTCGGCCGGGACCATGATAAGCGCGACGTCCGCCTGGGACGCGCCGGTGATCATGTTCTTGATGAAATCGCGATGGCCCGGAGCATCGATGACGGTGTAGTGCCACTTCTCGGTGTAGAACTCCTTAGTTGTGCACGCGATGGTCACGCCACGCTCGCGCTCCTCCTTCTGGCGGTCCATGTAGAACGCGAAGGCGAAGGAGCCCTTGCCAAGGCGCTCGGCCTCCGCCTTCAGCTTCTCGAGCTCACGCTCGGGCAGTCCGCCCAGCTCGAAGATCAGGCGGCCCGTGGTGGTGCTCTTGCCGCTGTCGACATGGCCGCAGATCACGATGGAGAGATGCTCCTGGAGGAGAAGGACGAGAAAGATGGTTGGCAGCACGGACCAGAGGGAGGGGCGAGGGAGGGGGGACTTCTAAGAAGCTAGTGGGGCCCCCCTCGCGCCATGCCGCATCATGCCTTGTGCGTGCCGCCAAGAGAACTGGACGACTTAAGAAGAAGGATGAGATAAACAAATCATCAACGCAAACTGTCGAAGGTCCGCGCAGATTTCTTCTGGCGCACCCCCTGGCAGGGAGGTTCGAAGCAGGAGGGAGGGATGAGAGAGGATGTTCGAGAGACTGGGAGTAACAGGTTGGTTCGAGGAAGAGTAAGGACGAATGAGGAAGGACGAAGGATGAGGAACGAGACAGGATCGATGATCCCCCGAACGTGGGTCAGCGCTAATGTGTGCTTGCCCACCAGAGCCCTTCACTGCGACGCGGCAGCGTAATGAGGGCTTACACAGGCTGCGCGCCATCAGTCGAGCTGAACAGGGTAAACGCACTCACACAGACACCTTTTCCTTCGACGCGTTTGTGAGGTCCAGCCAGCGGGCGACAAAATTTGAGGTGACCATCGAGAATCACTGATTAGCTTCTTTTCGAAACAGCGTGCCACACACAGGGCTAGCACACGTCTTGAGGATCATCGACAGGAGGAATGGAGTAGGAGTAAGGAAGATGAAGGAAGATGGGCATGGAAGTGTGATGACGACACCGACGATGGGAGGCGGCCAGGACATCCTTCTCCGAATTCGCCGGCATGGCTGTCACTCCGCGCTGAAGGCAAGCGGTAAATGAGAGGGCGCGGACCTGCAAGGCCTTTCCTCCTGTCCGGTGACTCTTGAGCCTCCGACCAGGCGGTGGGGCAGGGAGGGAGGTGGAGTGATGGATGAGGGGAGGGGGAGGAGGCAGCTCCACAGCTCCAGGGAGGTCTTCTTGGGAACGGTTAAGGGCTACGAGCCCAGATGAGGGGGCCCGAGGCCAAGGGTTGGGCGACTAAGCGAGAACAGGCCGGATGAAGCTGGATAAAGCTAGATCAGGGCGGCTTTCGACCACGGATAACTATACCAACGCCGATGCTGAACTCAACCTTCCGGAGAGATGCAACCGAAGAAGGAAGGCCGACCCGCAAGAGAAATCAGGATCAGTCAGCTTCGAATCGGAAGCTCGAAACGAAATGTGCATCGGATCGAGCTGCATCGGCACGGAGGCGAGATCGAGCACGGATCGGCCGCGCCATAATGCACAACAGCGCCATGCAAGCATCGGGCCGCATCGGATCGTCAGAACGTCGGAGTCGACTCGGATCGGGCTGGACGAGACCTGCATCGACCCAGATCGTTGGGGTCGAAATGTACCCTGGAAAAGTGGAAAGGGAGGCTGCAGAGCAGAGCAGAGCAGCTCCAATGATCCGATGAAGTGCCAGAGCCTCGGAAGAGCGCACCCTGAGGGCCCTCAGAGAAACAAAAACCCGATCAAGCGTTCAAGGATCACTTCAGGGATCCGACAATCTTTGGGGCCCTGCAGGGGGATACCACTAGCAAAAACGAGACCCCCCATTTGGGAACAACTCGGGGGCTCGTCTATGCATTCCCTCGCTGAACAGAGCAAGAGGCGAGCGACCCAAGCGCAACCCCAATCAGGACTCACGGCGAGGACAGCCCATACGTCAGACGACCTCGAGGACCCCGCGAGACGGCCCTCCCCCAGAATACGCTCGGCAAGTCGCAGGAGGAAGGAGGAGTTATGAGGTGACGCTCCGGCCAGAAACCCACGGAGCACGGAGACCCCACAGAACCCGAACCGGTACTCATTTGGGCTCGGCGAGCTTGGAGACAAACAGGGATACACGCAAGCAGACCTGTGTAAGAAGCGACTGCCGAACAACACTGCGCGCATAATTACACGTACGTTACGTGTGCGTTACACGTTGGTGCTATTTTCTGCCGTGATCCTAACAAACAGCGCCGCCCATTGCCAAGATAATGTCATACCAAAATTTCTGGCACGGCCGGGGCGGGCACACGTTCTGTCAGGAAAGGCGCGAGAACCGTCCAGGCTCACTTCTTCTTGCCGCCGGCGCCGCCCTCCTCCTTGCGCTCGCACGAGATGACCTTTCCGAGCATCACGACGCCGTTGCCATCCATAAAAGCCACGCGCGACAGGCCCTCGCAGTTCTTGAACGTGTCGCACACTAGCGGCTGCTGCGGCTGGAAGCTGCACTGGGCCATCTCGTTGGACTTGAGGGAGTGGGGGTCCTCCATCTTCTTGCCGCCAGTCTCCTTGCCCATCTTCCACTTCAGCTTGCTGATGCGGCATGCCGCGCGTCCGCAGCGCACGAATCCGATCGGGGAGTAGCCGACCTTGATCTCGTTGGGGATATCGAGCACCTGGATCTGCGCGTCGAACTCCTTCGTCTGACCCAGGGTGGTGTCCTTCTTGTAGACCATCACGTCGCCCGAGCGGGGCATGTTGTTCTTGTCGAGGCCCTTGATGTTGAGGCCAACATTATCTCCCGGGTTGGCGAAATCGACGCGCTGGTGGTGCATCTCAACGGTGAACACCTTGCCAGTGCACGGGTTGGAAGCGGTGTGCGTGGGCAGGAACACGACCTCCTCGCCCGGCTTCACCACGCCCTGCTCCACGCGCCCGGCGAGCACATCGCCGACACCCTTGATCTTGTAGATGCCAGAGATCGGCATGCGCATTGGCGCGCTGGTGGGCCTCTCGGGCACGCGGCACATAACGTCGAGCACGTCGTAGACAGTGTCCACGTGGATGGTCTCCTTGCCGTACTCGACATCGCAACCCTTCCACCAACCCATGTTGTCGGACTTCTTCAGCAAGTTGTCACCCATCCAGCCAGAGATGGGCATCACCGGCGTGCCCTTCTCCACGAAATCCTTCTTCCACCCGACCTTGACCAGCATGCTCTTCATCTCGTTCGCGATCTCGTCGTAACGGGACTGCTTACCCGCAACCATGCCTTAGGCACGTTGGGGCGTGTTAGAATGCGCGTTGTAGCTCGCAAGCCCCCTCCCCTACGTGCACGCACCATCCGAGTCTCCCCCAGGTTTCGCTCCCCGACGCCTTTTCCGGCCTCGAGGCGACTCCGAGACAATCAAAGCTCGCCCGAGCCTCCAAAAAACAACTGAAATACGCCCTACGCGAGAACATGAGAAGACGGCCCAACGAGGTTCGTGGGTTTCGGATGTTTTAATCATGTTTTAGAGCCTCAGCAGCCTTCAAGAGGCGCCCAGAGAGGCTTTCAGCGGGGCCCGAACAGGTAAAACTCTTTGAGCAACCGACTAGAAATCAGTGTTGCGTGGTTCCCAGATCTTTCGGCTTAAGGTCAGCTCAAAATCTTTAGAACACCTGAAGAAGCATCCACAAGGATGCAAGGTAGCATCAAGAGAGCCGCAGGACGGGCCCAAGATGACTCCGGAGCCGCCCAAGAAGGCCCAAGACCGACAACACAACGAGACCCCAAGATGGCCTCCATGACTCGTCCGACGAGACGGTTCGACCGAGCCTCTTGGACAGAGCTCGGTAGAACCAGAAGAAGGGAAAGGGGGGGGAACAAGCCTGCGGACAAGGAGGAAGGAGCGTTTAAAACTCGCGCGTTTACAGCGCAGACAGGGCCGCGATTCGGAGCAAGTCAAACACTCAACCTCCTTGCTGGACTGCTGCGCTGGCGTGGTGTCGGGGTTTGCCACAGGCAGCTCGATACCCCGCGGTGTCGCAGTCCATCTTGTTGACGCCGATGCAGATCTGTTTCACGCCCAGCAGGTTGATCAGGCGGGAATGCTGGCGAGTCTGCCCCTGGATCTCGCCAGCCTTGTGGTTGCCCTTGGCGATGGCGGTCGTGAAATTACCGTCGGCCGGGACCATGATAAGCGCGACGTCCGCCTGGGACGCGCCGGTGATCATGTTCTTGATGAAATCGCGATGGCCCGGAGCATCGATGACGGTGTAGTGCCACTTCTCGGTGTAGAACTCCTTAGTTGTGCACGCGATGGTCACGCCACGCTCGCGCTCCTCCTTCTGGCGGTCCATGTAGAACGCGAAGGCGAAGGAGCCCTTGCCAAGGCGCTCGGCCTCCGCCTTCAGCTTCTCGAGCTCACGCTCGGGCAGTCCGCCCAGCTCGAAGATCAGGCGGCCCGTGGTGGTGCTCTTGCCGCTGTCGACATGGCCGCAGATCACGATGGAGAGATGCTCCTTCTCCGAATTTGCCGGCATGGCTGCACTGCGGGACTAAAAGGGCGCAGAACTGCTAGATCCCTGCCTTCGTGAAGCGCTCGAGCCCTGGGCCAAGGTTACGGATGCAGGCTGATTGTATCTGATGGCGAGTCGCTCGCCGCAAGATCAAAAACTCCTCCCCAAGTAACTTAGTATGAGTGTCGAGGTCCCTCCCCCTCCTCCTACGGTAACGTTTGCTTCGCGCCTTGCGGCGGCGGTCCCTAAGACGCGCCATGCCTTGCAAGGCGACAGCGCATGGCCCTCTGAAAATGCATTCGAACCGGAAAGCGCATCGCACTGAGGCCTGGAAACGCTAGAAATGCTGAAAATCAGCGTGTCGCGCCGAATCGTGGTGGGCGCGACACGCTGAGCGAGAATTCCACACCGTACTTCCCCAAACTGCATCAGTGGGCTCTGAAGACGCAGGACCAATCAACATCGCCTCGGGAACTCGGATCGGGTCGGAAGGTGCGTCGAAAAAGACGGCCTGCATCGGTACGGAGGCGGAATCGAACCCGATCGGCCGCGCGAGGACCGATCGGATCGAAATCCCCAGTGGCTTCCGGGTAAAACTTCAAGCCTCCAGCGGCCGCTCAGGACGACTTCGGGCGCCCCTGGGAACGCTCTCGGCGAGGCAGCTCCTGGAACGCATCCCTAGGCCGACGAGACCGCCCAAGGCCAGGAAGGCTCCGAAGACGCGCCCGCCGACGCCAAGATGGGGAAGACTGCACCCTGCCGCGGACAGCGGACTCGGGGGCGTCCAAGAGCGGGGGTGGCAGATCATGGCCGGAGGCACGTGCGCGGCCCGAGGGGGGACCAGGGAGCGCCTTGAATCAAGAAGGGGGGGGGCCCATGAAATCCGAGGAGATGTCGTGGCCCGGGCCATGAGTTATCCCCCCCTCAGCAGTTTCGCGTCGCGATGACGTTGGCCTTGGTCTCCGACACCCCGTGGATCGTTCGACCTTGAGAACGATCACGGCTTTCGGATCTCGTCGTCGGCCGATTCTGGGCCGCTGACGGCGTTCAACCTTGAACGCCCGCACTGAGGCGAACCTTCCCTGATCCTCACCCCCGCCCTGGACGCCCCCGTCGATCGCGCCGGGCCCTCGCTCGCCCGTTGAACCGGGCAGGCCAAAAACTCCACAACTGCAGGTGCCGCGGGCCAGTGCGCCTCCCGCGCCGCTCCCATGCTCGAGGAGACGAATGACGGCGTTTAACACATGGCGGACACTCGGCGAGGAATACCGTAAAAGGAAGGCGAGGGAGCTGAGAACGGGGGGCATGATCAGGAGAGGGTTCGATGGAGGTGCGCAAACCGTTTGTAGGAGGCTCTGGAAGGTCGGGAAAGCTGGCGCCTCCTCGTCCCTCCCGTTCCCTCCCTTTCCTCACCGGGCGCCTTCCCCTTCCTCCTCCTCCCTCCTCCTCCTCCTCCTCCTCTGACCCCTCGTCCTACTGGCACTCTTCCTCGACCCCCCCCCTTCCTATCTCATTATCCCTCCTCGGAAGAGAGGGGAGGGAAAGATGAGACCAGGGCAGGAACTGGCATGAGGGGCGCATCGTTCCCCATCCCCTGCTTCTACGGTGAGTCAGCATCAAAGTGGGAAATCGAATCGAATCGGAGTGTCCGCCGGTTCGGGCCGCATCGGCACGCAGTCGAAATCAAATCGGATCGGCTGCGCGAGGATGCACGACAGCGCCATGAAGACATCGGGCCGCATCCCATACTTCCCAGAAGTCCGATGTCTTCATCTTTTCAGCGCGGGACCCCGCAAGATTAGATGGCCCGACCCTGTAAACGACAAAACAATGTCTTAGCCGATTCCGTTTTTCCGTTTCTTTGCCAATTCCAGCGCATATGTTTCCACCGTTCGGTTGCCGTTACTTTGCCGGGCCCGGAACAATTTGTTTGCCGGTTCTAATCGCCATCTCTTTACCGCTTCCGATTTAAAGAGCCACTGTTCTGAAACGGTGAAGAAACGGCCCTGCCGTTTCCGCGGCCAGCCCGACCCTTTTCCCAAGGCAGGCGCTTCTTCCAGGATCGTTCTTTGAGAGACCGGGGGCCTGGTGAGGCCCCTGCAGGCTGCCAATTACCAAAACGTCCGTCGTGCTTTTTCCGCGACGCGAAAGGATCTGGCTTCCCATCCCTCCTCGTTTCCCTCCCAGGCCTCGGGGAGCCGTGCACGGCGCCGGGGGAGAGTGGGCCCGCCAGAGCTGGGAGGGCTGTGACGCCGAGGGACGCCACAACCGTCGAGAGCAGCAAAGGCGTACCTACCCCGCTGCTCACGTCCACCGCCAGCCCTAAGGTGGGACAGGCCGATCCCGACCCAGCGGGGGGACACTGAAAACGGTTCCCCCGGCCCCCGCCTGTCGCGTCGGCCTGGGCGGCACTGGGAGCCCCCAGGTCCGCGAGTGCCAGGACGGGCTGGCTCACGAGCCGCTCGTAGATCGGCGCTCGTCACCCCCGCAGGTAGCTCTGACGAACAAAATATGACGAACAAAATCTGCTGCAGCGGACACTGACATTCACGACATCATCCTGCGACGCAGAGAAAACGAAACCAACCACATAGTACAGTGCGCAAATTGCGTGGCGCGCGTGACAACAGTACAGGCACGTGCATGCAATAATCCCCTAGGCCTGAACCATCATCTCCGCGGCGCGACCTGACCGCGGTGCAGTCCCGGCCAAGGGAGCTGCCAGCTCAAGAGGGGTCCACAGCGCCTTCCGACAGTGGCATCGAAGAGGGCCCTTGTGATGCCACTGTCGGGGGGCCACTCGAAGCCTCTCAAACCAAGCCCCCCAAACGGCCCCAGAGCCCACAACACGGATCTGGCGGGCTCCATGAGAGCCATCGCAAGGCCGCAATGGGGCCCCAATACGGGTTCCAGTGGTGAACTCCTGGTCCGACTCCGCCTGGCGGATGCGGAAGCGATAACTTCGTGTGCCCTCTTCGAGGTCACTCGGAGCCCCCAGGACGGCCCTGGAGGGCACCAGGAATGCCCCGAGAGAGCCCAAAGGAGGCTCCAAGAGGGCTCCCAGCGAGCCCCTGGCCAAGCTCCGCCTGACAGAATCTGAAGCGATAATTTCTCGCGCCCTCTCGGGGGCCGCTCGGAGCTCGAACATGGCCCCAAAAGGCCTCATGATCACCCGCTGAGGGCCGCGAGAGGGCCTCGAAAAGGCCCCAGCGAATCCCTGACCCAACTCCGCCTGACGGAAATTGAAGCGATGATCGGTAATTCTCTTATGGGGGCCGCCTGGAGTCCCCACTGGCAGGTCCTAGCCGTAACCGCAACATATCCCGAATCGACCTTTTCCCTCCTCTTCCTCCCTCCCCTGCCTGCTTCCGCTCTCCCCCGCCTTCCTAGTTCCTTGTGCGAGGGGCACATCGCCATTCACGACCCAAGAACGCTGGCGACAGCACCGCCGCGGGCATCCGACGAAAACCGCCACGAACATTGACGACGCAAAAAAACATGCCCCAGCCTGCACAGGAGCAACTTTCCCGGAAAACTACTTTTCGCTGCGTGTTACATCCCAAGCCCGCGGGGGCGTACTGTTTCTTCGCCCGGCGGCCACGGCGACGAAAGACAAAATCGTCGATCCATGTTTCGTCGGTCCATCCCGCCCCCTCGGACGACGAACAACAATCTTCGTTGCATTATTCGTCGCCCCTGTGTCCCCGAAGATGGAAACATGGACTCTAACAGGGCACGGCGGGTGCAGCCCACCTGTCAGACCTGCACTGCGACCTGCCTGGGGAGGAGCGCACGACTTGCATGACGATGAAACACAGCGCCCTGCGAGCGCGGTCGAGACTCCAGCTCCAGACGCGGGCAGCGACAGACAAAAAAAGGAAAGCACAGGGAGGGACGTGGAGGAGAGGATGGGAAGGACAACTCAATGTCGTGTCTTCGTCAAGCAGTTCTTCAAGTTTGCAAGATCCAGGAGTAGCTGGTCACCCCTTCCTTTGTCTGCGCGTCCTCGTTCTATCCTCCAAAGTCCTCACCCGCCACTCTCCTCCCTCCGTCCCCTCCCGTTCCTCGCCCCGGTTTCCCGCCCTGCCCGCCCCCCCCCGCATGCCCCCCCACACGGGCCTCGCGCCCCCGAAACGGCGCGCCCCGACAAGCAGGCCGCGCTGGCGAGGAGCAGCAAGGACGAGACGGGAGTGCAACGAGACCCGCGCGCTCTGGCACGGGCAGGCGATCGCACTTAGGAGTGCGCCCCGAGAGTGCCGCTGACGCGACCCCTCGCCCCCGGGCCCCGCGCCCCCGGGCAGCATAGGCGGCCTCTCGGAAGCAGAACACGCAACACCGGCTGTATAGCCGACGGCAGGGCGCGCCAACAAGCGCCAAACGGAAGAGCAGCAGCACCGCGCCCGCCAGCGACGATTCCGGGAGAAGGCGGCCAAACGAGGGGCGGGTCACGACGCTGCGCACTTCATCGACATCCAAATAATAACTCGTGCGGATGTTCGTCCCTGCGGCTCCGCCGCCGCCGATCGCAGAGAGCGGACCGTAAGCCGAGGAAGAGGACCTCGCTCGTTCCCTCGATGACCACCTGGACGAGCGCCTGTATAAGGCGCCCGCCAGAAGCCGAGGGGAGCTCATTGAGCCGAGAAAATGCAGAGACAGGTGGGGCGCAGGAGGGGAGAAAAAATACGAGAAGCCAGGAAGAGGGAATGAGAAGGAGGAGGAGGAGGAGGAGGAGGAGGAGGAGGAGGAGGAGGAAAAGGAGGAGGAGGGAAGGGCCGAAGATGGAGAGACAAAAGGGTACCGACACCGCTACTCCACACACCTCTGCCGAGGTGCATTCTGACAACATTTTTGAAGAGAATCCAGCCGTGGCGGCGAGAGCTCGCCAGGACGAGCAGCGGTATTGGTAACCCTTCTCCCTCTGACAAGAGGGGCACGTGCTGGGGAGGTGCGCCCCGCCTTTTGCCAAGGGCACCTGCAGCCCTCTCCCCGCTGGCCCCAGCCAGCGCGGATGGTCGCGCGCGGTGCCCCGCGAGAATGCCTGCCCGTCGCGGCCTGCCACGTAGGCTCGTCCCATCTCCCCTCTTCTTCTCCTTCCTCCT